GCCGCCGCTATCCGGGGGACGGGGCCGGCATGGTGAGGGTCTCTGCCGCCGAGGGCGCCCCGAGCCACCCCGGGGCCGCGCCGGGCCTTGTCGCGATGCTCACTCGGAGGAAGAACAGCAAGAAGAAAAGGTCGTGGAGGAACAAAGCGCGAGAAGCAAGCAGAAAGCCGGGACGCGACCCAGGCCTTGTCGCGATGCGACCTCCAAAGGCCCCACAGGACTTTTCCCGAAACTGGAAAGCTCTGCAGGAGGTGAGGTCACGAGGCCCGCGGAGGCAGGACGTGGGGCAAGCGGTGCAGACAGCGGCACGGGCACGGGGCCCAGTCCCGGGATGTGGAAGGGACAGGGCTTGACAACGTCAGACACTCCGCGATGGGGTCTGTGCGCGCGCTTATATCATCCCGGTGACAGCACAGTGAGGCAGTCACTTCTGTCCTCTCTGTTTTTCAGATGAGGAAATAGGCCCAGAAGGTTAAATACATTATCCAAGATTGCAGCGGGGACCCACTCAAACCCGCTGCCCCGTGCCAGACCCGCTCCACGGGCCTCACTCAGATTCTTACTTCGTCTCCTGCAGTTAGCTGCTGTTTCACCCTGTTTCCCAGATGAGGCTCAGGGAGTTTAAGGAACCTGGCCTGAGGTCACACAGCTAAGCACACGGTGGAACTGGGATGCAGAGTCACACGTTCTGACTCGAGTTTGTGCTCTTTGCTGCTGTCGACCTTCCAAGTCTCTTCCATAGTTTTCTGGAGTGTATTGTAGAGACTGAGCGAGCAAGAGAGAGGATAAATAACTTCTCGGGCCTCCTAACGTTTCACCCAATATCATACGGTGGGCGTTACTAATAAATTATTAGGAATTTTTAATTTATCTTAATTAACAAATTATCAGGAATTGCAAATGTTTTGACATACAGGACCAGTCAGATCCTCATGGCAACCCTAGAGCTCTGTATGATTTCTTGAGCACTAACTCTTTCTCCCAAGAAAGTAAAGCAAAATTGAGTGAAAGGGATGTTTACTGTAGGGAAAAGTTTGAGTTTTCTCTATTTTGTGCAAGAAAGCAAATCCATTGGTTCTTTAACTATTACAAGAACGGGTAAGTAGGAACCCACCTTGTCATCTCTCATCTGGTTGCCATGTACCAGGTCTTAACCATGGTTCAGAACAGCCAGCTGAGAAGTTGAGCATGGAGGACACTGGGCTCCAAGACCTCAGAGGGCCTCCACTTGGGTGAGAACAGAACTGTGGCTGCTAGCAGACCTTCAGCCACTTCCAGTGTGACAAAAGCTTTTCTGTTCATTGAATACACCTCTCCCTCTTCCTCAAACCCTCAGAGCAAGAGCAAACCAAGAAATCTTATAAGGGAAGTGGTTTGTGGGCACCCAGAGTGCTGGCCTAAGCTGTAAGGGAAGGAACTCTAAAATTAACTAATGAAAACAGGCTGCTCATCATCCATCCCCTCAGGCTCACAGTGAAGTGGTCTGTGGTGTTCAGTCACTCAACAGGTACTTAAGGTGTAGAATGTGAGTTCGAAATTTTGTAGGAATGAAGGAGCAGTTGTAAAATTATGTATTATAATAAGATAAGCAAAGAAAAAGTATTTCACCACAAGTGACTTATGGGTGAGAAGGGCTTTTTCCAAACCATTTGAAAATGAATTTCAATGATGCTCATAGGAATTGTATATAGGGGCTAGCCAGTTAGCTCAGCTGGTTAGAGCACAGCTTTATAGCATCAAGGTCAGGGTTCGGTTCCCTGTACTGGCCAGCTGCCAAAAAGAGAAGGAAGTATGTATAGATGTAATCAATGTGTGTGTGTATATGTACGTACACACACATAAATTTTTTCAACTTGTGTGTAATTTCCAAATTAAAATGTGCATGTATTTTATTTTGGGTCCCATTAGCTGCTGAAACAAAAATCACAAGCCCCAGAAGAGCCTCTTGCTATCTGTCAGATGGGTTCCAAAAAGCAGCCTGAAATTATCCAGCAGAACAGAAGAGAGGTCTCAGATACAGCAAAGGGAGATGAGATGCCGGCAGAAAAAGGCCCAGCAGCCACTGGGGGCTCTGCTCCTTCAGGACCTAAGACAAGCAGGAAAGTGCTACCACCTCACACAAAGGCCAATGGACACAGTGAGAAAGGAACCAAGGAAAGCACAAGTGACATTTCTAAGAAACGAGGGGACATCAAGCATAAGAAGCGGAAAGCTACGGAGCCGGCTGCAGCCTCAGCTCCAGCCTCAGCTCCAGCCCTGCCCACCGAGTAAGTATTGGCCGTCTCTGCCTGAGTCTCGGCTGTGGTGACTGGCACAGCCTCTTCTGCCACCCCAGCTTCAGTTGGCTTCACCACAGAGAGCAAAGGCACAGTAACTTGACTGACCAAGGCTTGTCCCCTTACAAAGGCCATGCGACTGGGAGGCTCCACTATGGCCTCTCCGTCACCTTACCCTGATGATATTTGTTTCTGTGTTTACTTAGTGCTTTCCCCTAGCGTATAGGCATAACAAAGGCAGGGCTTGTCCCACAGTCGCTGTCATTCTCGTGTCTTCAGAAGTGGTAGAACAGAGCCGAGAACTGTAGGCACCAGTAGAAATTTGTGGAATGAATGGGTGCCGAAGCCAGAAAGACCCGAGTGTGAAACCTGGTCCTGCCTCTTGCCAGTTGGGTGGTTTGGGACAAGTTCGTGACACCCTGTGCACCCCAGTGTAGTCATCTGTGGTGTCACAAGAAGATTGAGATGTGGTGTGCTTGGTGATTACTTAATAAACACTATGATGGGCACTCAGGTGGGGATGGCCAGTCAGTGGCCATCTCTGGATGGCTCAACTGAAGGTGACATGTTTGTAAGTCATAGGCTGGCTTCCTGTTGCCTGGATGTTCAGGACATGGTTACTGAAGGTTGAAGGAACAAACAGGTTGAGTGTCACCTGTGTGTTGCACTAGGTAGGCTGTCTGGAATAGAGCCTTCAGCAAGATGGGCCTGGCCCGTCCCTCCTGATGCTTGTAGACAAGTGGGAGAGACAGTAAGCTGTAATTGTTTCAGTGATTGCGTAAGTGTGGTCAAGGTCATTCCAATGGGGGAGAGGGTATGGGAGCACATGGCAAGAGGAGTGTGTCCATTCTGTGGGGTCAGGAGAAGCTTTTCTAAGGAGATGGCATTGAAGCTGAGCCTGAGAGATGGAATTCACCAGGCAAGTATTTATATGCCTGTGTAGGCATCCAAGTACGGAGAGCAAGACATGAAGACATTAGCAGTCATACCTGGGTAGGGTTCTGTGTTTCCATTTTATAGTCATTGTGTCTGGCTGTGTTTCCTAATTGGCAATGAACCTATTACTTTTGTAATTAATAAGAAAATGTTAGCATTCATTACAGCTGGGTGGTTTCTGTTTTATATTCTTTGTGTTTATCTGTAGTTCCTAAATCTTGGATAGTAAGGGTATCTTCTAATTAAAAAGGAAAGTGATAAGAAGTGCTAAGATGATCAAAATCACAGGAGCAGCTGGGCCAGCTGCCTGGCATGTGGGGCCTGACGTGGGAGGAGCAGACTCTGTGTCACTCCTCCACTGACCTGCACAGTCAGCCTGTCAGCACAATGGAGTCCAACCCCGACAGTCAGACCAGGGCCTTCTGTTGGTCAGCCTGTTCTTGTCTTTGCCTTTTAGGGAAGACATCTGGTTTGATGATGTTGACCCGGCAGATATCGAAGCTGCCATAGGTCCAGAGGCAGCCAAGATAGCAAGAAAACAGCTGGGTTGGAGTGAAAGCAGTGTCACCCTGGTGAAAGAGCAGGCCTTCAGTGGGTACGTGGGTGTGGGAGCCAGCTGCTGGGTGTGCGTGGCTGTGGAGGGCGGGGGCTCTTCAAGGAAGAGGCTGAACAGGGCAGGTGACTCCCAGGATCCTAAGAACTGGGGCCACACAGAGTTTATCACGCGGGTGCGCGGTAGTGACGGGCAGAGAGCTTTTCTGTGCGAGTGCTTAGCCCAGGGATTCCCTAGTGCTGGGTCCTGCCATGTTGATTACACTGGAGCCGTTGGTTCCCCTTCAGCCTGACGAAAGCCTTGGCCATGGATTGTGAGATGGTGGGCGTGGGCCCTAAGGGGGAGGACAGTGTGGCCGCCCGCGTGTCCATCGTGAACCAGCACGGGAAGTGTGTTTATGACAAGTACATCAAGCCGACCCAGCCCGTGACAGACTACAGGACAGCGGTCAGCGGGGTACAGCCTGAGAACCTCAAGCAGGGTACGTCATCTGCAGCTCGTGAACACGGGAAGGAACGTGGTAACGGGATTCCCTCTCCTCCCTTGCATTCCCTCTTCTGTTCAAGAACACTCACCATAGCAAGTGCCCCGACACATCTCCCCACTCCTGGGGAGTGGGTTTTCACTGGCCATCATGCCATTCAGGTCTTGCATTTCAGCGCCTCTCATCCTCTGACCTGAAGACCAGGAAGGTGCTCTTGAATTGTTTCATACTCTGTGGCAGTAGGGACAGAAGTGGAGTGTGAGAGGACCAGGAAGGAGGCCAGTGGGGGTGAGGAGGGGGTGGGGAGGATGGATCATAGGGTCTCGTGGACCCTTGTGGGCAGTGAGAGGTCTGGTCTGTCTTAGGTTCTAGCAGGTTCCTTGTGGCTGTGACATTGAGAACAGACTGTAGGGCGATGAGTGTGGGAACAGGACGGCTTGTGTTAAGAGGTTTGAGCTGGCGGTAACCTGGGTCAGGGAGGTGACTGTAAGAAGTGACCAGAAGTGACCCAACCCTGGACACAGCTGGAGGTTGAGCGTGTGTGGGGTGTGAGAAAATGGGGCACCCAGGATGGCTCCAAGGCTAGGGACCTGGAGAGATCCTGGAGACCTTTGAAGACCGAGGCCACGTGGTCTCTTCCCTGCACCTCTCTGTTCTCTGTCCACACACTGCCCTACTCTGCTGCTTCTGGTGCACACAGCCGGCAAGGCGGCCCCACCATCCTCAGACCAGTAGACTGACCAGCATTTCTTAGTTCCATTCCTGGGAGGGAGGCTCATCCTGCTTGTGTTGGGCCATGCTTGGTCTGCTCAGCTCAGGCCAGGGCAAGCAGAGCCGCGTGGTGCAAGCCTCGTTGCTGTGGTTGCTGGCCACTGCCCGTGGGTATAGGGTGGGCGAGGGGACTCTCACAAGAGAGGTTGGAGGTGGGGTGGTCCGCCAAGGGTATCTGCTGTGAGAAGGCAGGCAGAGCCGCCTCTGGAGCCTGGGGTCTAGGGCAGCGTGTCTCCCACTGGGGTGGGGGAGGGCTAGTCTTGTTTCATTTCCATTGGAAAGTCATAAAGTACAAGCCCTGGTTTTTTATTATCTGATTCAGCCGTCAGAACTACCCTGTCAAATGGCCCCAGGAATTTCTGTTACTCTCGACCTGTGCACTCCTTGTGGGCCATGACAAGCATTTGCAGGCTGTGCAGTAATTCGCTGTGTCTTAAACACCCTTTTCCCTCCTCTCCTGCCATAACCCACAAGGTGCTACTCCCTGGTGGGTGGGTGTGGTGGCCCCAAGTCACCCATCAGTTGTGGCATTGCAGGCCTAGCCTGTGGTCTCAGGTCTGACTGGGGGTGGAAGGGGCCTCCCTCATAGAGAATGATAGTGATTTATATGTTGCTAAAAGCCACTTGTTTGTTTTGATTTTCAGGAGAAAAACTCGAAGTTGTTCAGAAGGAAGTGGCAGAAATGCTGAGGGGCAGAATTCTAGTTGGACATGCGCTGCATAACGATTTGAAGGTACTGGGCTCCAGGGGCCTCCTGGGAACTTAGGGCCCACTGGCTCTTTAGTGCGTGTTACATGCACACCCTCATGCTGTCTGTCTGCAGAAGCGTCATTATGGGGTTTTCTGGTTGTTTTTGAATTTGTGCCCTATGTTGGGACTACTCTAGTGTGAATATCAAAACCATTAATGAGGGCCAACCTGTGGCTCACTTGGGAGAGTTTGGTGCTGACAACTCCAAGTCAAGGGTTAAGATCCCCTTACTGGTCATCTTTAAAAAAAGAAAAAAACACTCATGAGTTCCTGCTCTGTTCTGGGAGCCATGCTGGACACTTTCTATAGTGCAGATTTTGTTCAGTTCTTTAAACAATGCCTCAGGTGCTTATGCTTGTTTTATAATGAGGCCAAGTGGTGTGCCTGAGTGGCAACATGGTGGAGCTGGTGCAAACGCAGACCAGCGCCAGGTCCCCTACCCACTGCTCCAGTGCACTCCACGTTGGCAGAGCCAGGCTGCTGCCGCCTCTCCACCTGCCACCCAGCTAGGCGGGGAACTGGATGGGGAGACATTTCCTTAGGTGGCCATGTTGGCCAGCTCAGTGGGCAGCGGGTGGGTGAGCTTGGAGAGTCCACTTCCAGCATCCAGAGGGCATGGCCTACAGCCTTTTCCTTTAGGGTCTCTGCTGATGGGGACCACCTGGGCAGAAAGCACAGCAGATAGTCCTTCCTGGGTGGGGCCCACGGTACTCTGGCTGTTCAGTGTTCCTTGGAGCCCTAGAGTCCTCAGAAATGTCTCAGGAACCTCTAAATGTTGGCTTTAATTTCCTTTGAAAATAAATGTTTTGCTATTAAAAACTAACAAAAAGTCACCTGCCCACTTTTGTATCATATCACCCTTGGAGACTGCCACCGTGTTGGTCTCCTTCCTCCTGACCGTGGTTCTGTCCCTCATGACTAACTTGTGCAGACTCCTGTTTAAGTCTCTCTTGAAGTCCATGCTGAGGATGCAAGATTAGCTGCTGAAAACCGTTAGCATTTCTAACTTCCTGATTTGCAGAACCAACTCAAAGCACAGGGATAAGGTGGCTGCTGGTTCATCGGTGACTGTTTCCCTCCTTCTTCCTAATTTCAAGATTTTATTTTTTTTAATGTGGTTCTGATTAAGTTTATGTGATGCCTTTGTTTCAGAAGTTAAAATTCATATCAGTGATTTTTTATGCATGTGTGTTATATACTGGGATTCCCTGTAAGATGTTATTTGGGGGGGAAAAGGGGGCTCCACTGCTACAAACTAGAAATGAAAATGATTGTCATTATATTTTCTTCTTCTAGGTACATGCATGTGTGTTATATACTGGGATTCCCTGTAAGATGTTATTTGGGGGGGAAAAGGGGGCTCCACTGCTACAAACTAGAAATGAAAATGATTGTCATTATATTTTCTTCTTCTAGGTACTGTTTCTTGATCATCCAAAAAAGAAGATTCGGGACACACAGAAATATAAACCTTTCAAGAGCCAAGTGAAGGTACTCACAACGCGCATGGCCCGGTGCACCGTCCTTCTGTTGTGCTGGTACCGGTCCCAGTGGCCGACTTGCTGGTTAATGGGGTTTTGTTTTTATTCTTCCTTCTAAGCTTTAAAACTAAAAGGAATCCTAAAAGAAAAAGCAGGGTTCTGCTAATTGCCAGCTTTAAAAATGAGCGTATCGGGGGCAGATTGTTTCACTCTAATCTCTGTGATGGGTCACAGGTATGTGCAGGATGGCATGGGCAGGGATGCCCCTCTTGAAGTGAGCAGGGAGGACAGAGACGCTGATTCCTCCCTGGCCCTCCCTTTACTGATGGGTCAGGGGTTCTCACCAGTCTCTGGGCTGGTGGCTGCAGCCCCAAATGCCATGGGCATTTCCAGTGAAAGGCAGATGACAGGTCACTTGGGCTGGGGCTCAGTAGCCAGCTCCCTGCCTGATGAAGTGCCCCCACTCAGACAGAGGCCCCCCCAGGCCAGAGCCTGCAGAGACCCACACAGCAACTTGCATGCTATCTCCCTTTGCAGAGTGGAAGACCGTCTCTGAAGCTACTGTCAGAGAAAATCCTGGGGATCAGGGTCCAGCAGGCAGAGCACTGTTCGGTGAGTGTGTCCTTGGGGGATAGTCCTTGAGATTTGGGGCCATTTCTGACTCGAAACCAGGCATGTGTCACCTGATGTCAGACTTGGACGAGGTGGGGCTTAGACAACTTCTTTTTTTGGAGGCCGTTGGTCCAAAAATAATGAAGCGGCAGAGCATGCTTATAGAATGATTAAAATTTAACACAAAAATAGGGCCAGCCCGCGGCTCACTTGGGAGAGTGTGGTGCTGATAACACCAAGGCCACGGGTTCGAATCCCTATATAGGGATGGCTGGTTAGCTCACTTGGGAGAGTGTGGTGTTGACAACACCAAGTCAAGCGTTAAGATCCCCTTACCAGTCATCTTTTAAAAAATAAAATTAAATTTAAAAAAACTACTACATTATAATCATTGGAAGAAAAAGTGACCAGTCTAAATTGAATGCCCTGTAGGACTGTGTGGGCCTGGCCAGGCAGCCCCTCAGCCCTTGCCTGACAGGCCTGGCTCAGGCCAGCTCTGCTTCTGTGGCACAGAGTCCCGCCTACAGTGTGGCTGTCAGCCCTTTGGGCCCTCGTGCCCCGGCATCATGTTCCCAGCCCACTATCTGTTCTGCCTCTGTGAGTGGTTGTCTCCCGAACCTGAGAGGCCACATGTTGTCCCATCACTTCTTTGGGTTTCCCTGTCTTCCCCTGTAAACAGGAGTGTCTGTGTCACAGAGGTGTGTAAGGGTCACGTCATCATGCCGGCGCTTTGCACATTTTCTCCCTCACCATCCTGCTGACACCTCACGGCAGGTCCATGGCACAGTGGCTGGCGTGATGGGCTCAGCAATTGTGGGATGGACTGTGGCCTGTGGTCATGCTTGTACCCTGCTGCATAGTCAGTGTTGTTCTATGTCGTCCAGATTCAAGATGCCCAGGCAGCGATGAGACTCTATGTCACTGTGAAGAAGGAGTGGGAGAGTGTGGCCAGAGACAGGCGCCCCAGGTGACCGCCCCAGACAGCTGCAGCAGCAACATGTAGGGATGCTGCCCTGCTGCTGGTGCTGCTCCCTTCCACCATCCTGTGGTGACACCTCAGGCCAAAAGCTGTTGTGATCAAATCACAGAGACAGATCAAGTCTCCCCAAAGCGGCGATTCTGGAGAAACATTTTCAAGATGATGGCAGCGGGGGCATGGCCTGCATGCTACTGAGAAGGTCCTCCTCCCTCGTGACTTTGAGGTCTGAGACCTCGTCTTACTATACGTATATGTTTGGGGACAGGGTGGGCAGGGCCATGGCAGGGGAAGATGCCAGGAACTCTGTGGGCGTGCCTGGCGACTGCCGTCTACTAACCACCAGAGTGAGGACACGACATCTGGGCTGTCGCTGCCAACCTGACAATGGGATTTGGTGGGAGTCACCTGGGGTCCCTAGAGCAGAAAGCAGCCTGGGTGCTCAGCAGCCTCCTCTCAGGTGACCACTTCTTCCCTGTTGTCTCGGGTGATGGAGCAAGCCCTGTCAGGCTCAGGGCCCAGACCGGGTGTCTGCATCCAGCTGTCCAGACACAGCTGGCAGCACGGCAGTTGCTGCATGGGGAGTTCCCTGTGGCATTTGGACTTTGAGAGGGACTTTGTGAGGGTAGGTGTTTCTTTCTCACTCCTGTCTGTCTAAATTGGTCCAGGGGTGGCCAGGGCACAGTGGCCCCTGCTGTCCCTGGTGGTGAGCGCCTAACCTTGTCTCAGACACGTGCTAGCCTTGTGCTGTTTGGCCTGGGAAAGCTGTGTGGGTGCTCAAGGGCCAGGCTGCAGCTTTTCTGGCTGGGCCCGGGTTTGAGGATCTTTCTGGGAACCAGAATCAGGAGCCGCCAGTCATACTGGCTGTACAGAGAAGGTGCAAGGCCCTGCAGGTGTTGCTGAATGTAAACACAGGTGTTCACTGTAAGTACTGCTGTGGAGGATCCGTCCCCTCCCTTATTTAGAACAGTCTGAAAGGACTGCTGTGTCCACTCTGCTGCCACGCGGCCCAGCCAGGGACACGGTGTGTGTAAAGACAGCCATGTTCAGTACCACTGCCAGTCAATCACAGCCTACACCAGGGCAACTCGGACACACCAGGAACTGGCTTTGGGCCTCTTTAGTCACCTAAACTGAGTGTGTGATACACATACTGCTCCTGGGTGACCATTCATAGCCCCCCACCCTCCAGGAAAAGATTGCCTCCGCTCACAGGGCAGCTCCGGCTGTGGCTCAAGGAAGGGAAGGGCAATCACTTCAGGGCCAGGGTGGGGGGCACACATGGAGCGGAGAGGCTTTTGGGGTGTCTGTGTCCTCCCCAGTGTCAGTGCCAAGCAGCTCCCCCTCCAGCCTCAGGAGCACTTTTTCTGCATAAGAAACCAGCTCCTGGAAGGAGGAAACAAGCAGGAAGTTATTTTCATGGACAGTGTTGGGGTCCAGTAAGCAATTATTTGTGACTTAATTCATTGGTCGTGGACAGGAAACTTTCTTTCATTATTTCTCCGATTATTTCTCCTCTTTAAGATTGACTTTTGGCCCAGCTATTGATGGAGTAATAATAGGCAGGCAGGAAAATAGTCATTAAAAACTATGTGGGTTGAGGTCAAGATCAGTTCTTTATTCCAGGCCCCCAGACTCAGTGTTCCGGGTCTGAGGACTTTGGCCTGGTGAGGGGCCTGCTTTACTGAGGGCCTGCTGCCACTCACCAGGCTAGAGGTGAAGCGCCTCTTCATCTCCCAGACCAGGGCATTGATACCACTGGACTCCAGCTCCGGCAGGATCTCCTCTGAGGGTAGAGTAAAGCAGGTCCTGAGGCCAGGGTCTACCCCCATGACCCCCGCCAGGAGCCCTGGCCAGCCAGGAGAACAAGGAGGGATCCCAGTTCCACTTAAGCTTGGCACGAGAGTGCTGCCTTGAGGTTCTGGAGCCTCGTGCACCACCCCTCTGCTAGGGCAGTGCCTAGCATATAGTGGGTGCTCAGCAGATGACAAAGGACTCAGGAGTGTCGGGGAGCTGCAAAGTGGGGGTTGACACCGGTTCCATGGAGCTCCTTCCCTCTCCCAGCCGCCAGCCTCACGAGGGCTCACTGTAGGATGAGAGGTAGGCCAGCAGCAGGCACAAGTTCTCCACCACCTCAGGGTCGTCCCTGTAGAGCTGGTAGGTCTCCTTGATGAGGGCCAGGCCGCTGCTGCCCTCCCCTGGCACCACCATCTGGAATGCCGCCAGCTCTGGGGGGAGATGGGGGAGGGACGGAGATTGGGTTCATGCCCTGGTACAACCCCCTCCTAGCTGGCCTTGGGCCAGGGCTCAGAACCCTGCACCATGTCCTCTGGAAAATGGGGGTGCCGATGGTGCCGATTTCACAGCTGTTGAGAAAACTGGTGCTTGGGACAGTGAGGGCTGCCTCGCCTGCTGGTAGAGGAAGCTGCAGTTGCCTGGAGCACTGATCCTGAGCCTGGGCTTTCCCCCATTCTCCTTGTAAATCTTGTTAGGAAGAAAAGAAGGATTGCAGCAGGGCGTGGGGCTTTGCCCTCCCTCCCTCCCCCTCTCCCCGCCCCCCCACGTCCACCCTGGCAGCAGAAGCCTGGCTGTGGCTGGAGGGACCTCTTGGCCTGGGCTCAACTGCAGCAGCACCCTTCTTCAAGGGCATTGGTGGGGCATGGACCTGGCATGGCTGGATGGGCCTGATGTTGGGCTTCAGCTTCTGAGGAATGGGAGCCTGCTGTTAGCAGCAACAGTGCTCGGGCGCCTGCCCTGGGTACCACACCGATGTCCTTATCAGGTCTGGACCCAAAACTGAGGCTCAAAGCAGTGAGACCACCTGAACATCACACAGCAAGCAGTTCTCACCCAGACTGGCTCCAGAGTCTTGCTCACTGGGTCTGTGACCTCTCTCCTTGGGAGCTGAGTCACGTCCCTTTTGTTGTCAGGGTTCAGCATCTCCTGCTGTCTCATGAGGGCATTGACTGCTGACCTTTCACACAGATTGATTGGTAGGACCTCGGGGGCCCAGGACTGAAGCCCAGGGTATTGCTCTGAGAGGGAAGAGCCTCCCACCCAGGAAAGATCACCTGCTCTCCTCTCTAGGCATAGGCCACCCTGGAACAGTTAGGATGGCACTTCAGGAGTGCTGGGGCAGGACAGGAGGAGATAGGGCCCCACCCCGTCCTGCTGCCAGGAGGCCCCATCAGCCTGGGCAGCCCAGCCGACTAGAGCAGGCATGACTAGAACAGGACTGGAGAGGGAGCAGAGGAGACATTCCCCAGAGCCAGAGGAAGACTAGTGCAGAGGTTAGGACCACAGGGAGTTGCCCAAGGGTGGGGGCCATGCACCAGCTGGTGACCTTGGCCAGTCCCTTGGCCTCAGGTTTTCTCTGTAAAGGATTACCGTGCCATGTCCAGGGCTTGACTGTGCCGTGGTTAGTGTGGGACACATGGTGCAGAGTACAGATAGGCAGGGCTTGTGTTGTGGGGGCTTGGAGACACAGTCTCCAGGGCTGTCCTAATAAGGAACACCTTATGTTGATAAGGCATGATAGGACAGGGGAAAGTGGTCACGATATATCACTAAGCAAAAAAAAATAAAGTATCAGTGTGTGTGTAGAAGTCCTGAGCAACTTCTGGATAATGGGCTGTAGGTCATTTTTATTTCTTTCACTTTTTTGATTTTTTGCTTCTGTTTCTTGGTTGTGGGCAGCTGGCAGACATTACTGAGGGGGGACAGTTTTTGCCCCAACCCGTCCCTGGGCTCACCTGAGGCCTTCGCGAGGCTGGCCAGCCCCCGGTAGGCATTGTTCACCAGCAGGACTCTGTCCTGGCACAGCCGGATGCTTTGCAGGAACAGTGCCACCACCTGTTCCAGCTCGTCCTCCTTTATGCAACCTGCAAAGTGCCGGGTGGATCTCGTTGCCTGGTGTGTCCGGGGCCCGCCCCTCCAGTTCCTGAGGTCCCCACTGCTCACCCAGCAATGACAGCAGCCAGAAGACCCCACAGCCAGCTTCAGCCACTTCTGCATCCGTGGGGTGGGCGGTCAGCACCAGGACGGTGAGGGCCGGAATCTTCTCCAAGAGGGCCTTGTCCACAACAACAGCTGGAACCAGGACAAGGATGGGGGTTACCTAGGCCCCCATCCCCCCCAATCTGGCTCCCTCCAGCAAAGGACAACAGAAATGGGGGTGAAGGGGAGGTCAGATGTCCTTGGAGATGGAAGATGAAGGGGCTTTCTGCTGCCAACAAGTCTGGAGGAAAGGGATTGCCCTCCCACACACACAGGAGAGGCTCGGGGGATCTTTCACATTGGGTGTTGGCAATGTTCCTTGGGGTTTCCAGGTTTATTGTGGTCTGGAGCCCTCTTTTCCTTGGGCACTGGAATACCAAGGTGGGGCCTAGATGAGAGGACGCAGCATAGGCCCGGAGCTCCTGTTCTGAATCAGAAATCAACAAGACGGTGTCTAGTGCTAATTCTGGCCTCTGGAATCAGACACATCCTAAGATGTTTCCCTAGGCAGGAGGCACCCAAATCTGAGGGGTCTGCCCACTGGACAAGTCCTGAAGCCCGCCTCTGCGGGGGCGGTTTTTCCTCCCTCAGTCTTCCTCTGTTTCAGCTTTAGGCTCTGATGGTTCTCAAATGTTTAAGCGACGGGCCTGGAGGCCCTTGAAGGCTCTCAGAGGCAGCGGGGGAGTGGGAGGAGGGCCCCTCACCATCCACCAGGAGGGACCAGAGCAGTCCAAGGCCACTGATGCAGATGTCCCTGTTCTCGAGGAATCTGTCCAGGTGCTCCAGGATGTGCTCAAACAGCCCAGTCTTCTGCAGCTCCCCCAAGGCAGACTCTGGTGGGGGGGGGGTGGCACCAGGGTGAGGACCACAGAGAACCCTCTGCCCCAGGAAGCCTGCCAGGAGTACCTCCTCCCTCTGCTGTCCTTGGGCACTGCAGTCCAATTTGACCCACATTCCTGGGCACCATACCCAAATGGAACCCAGAAAGAAGAGCACATGGGTCTGGCCCTGGAGAGTCTGTCCATCTCTGGGCTATCATCCCCATCCCATTACCAGTATCTCCCATCTGTTTACCAGGCTGGGTCTGACCTCTGTAGCTTCCCATACAGGGGCCAGCCCTGCCTCCTGGGGCCACACAGCAGGCCTGTGCCCTCTCCCATAGGGGTGGCCTGTTGGTTCTAGTTTACACCTATTTCTGGCACCCATTCCACTCCCAGAAGTGGGATTAGAGATGAACAATCAATCACTGGTGTAGTGAAGAGAGTGCTGGGGCTCAGCCCCACCCCTGCTGTCCATTGGACTCTTGGCTAGTGTTCTTGGGCTCTCTGGAGCCCCAGCTTCCTGTCTGGCTGAGTGGGGTACACAGGTGCATGGATGGCATGTCCTGGTCCTGGCAAGCCCTGGGAGACACCCCATCCTCCACACACTCCCCAGTGCAGCTGCCCACTGCTCCTGGCCAGCAGCCTCTGAAGCCAGCATGCTGTGATGTGGAGACAAGCTAGAAAGTGAGTGTGATGCCATGACTGGGCTTGGCGCACATTGGTGCCCCTGCACACCGTGGAGGGAGCCAGTGACTAGTGATGGAAGCTTGTCATTAGGATGAAAAGAGATGAGCAGCATGTGAAGCAGACTCCCAAGGACAGTGCAGTCATGCCATCCCAGGGACAGCCCAGCACCACTCTGTCCAAATGACCCATCCCCCAGAGCCAACCCTCCGTGCCTCATCTTCTGAGTTCCCAGCTTCCCAGAATGTGGGGAGGGCCAGGAGGGGCCACAGACCCACCCTGGCTGGAGACAATGGTGAGCAGGCTGTAGACCATGACCAAGAGCTGCTCCGCCTCAGGGTGTCTCCGTGTGGCGCTCAGCAGGATGGAGAAGACAGAGTGGTTGCAGGGCGCCTTGGCCCCTGCATCGTGCACCAGCGCTGCTTGGTCCGGAAGCAGCAGCCCAGGGTTAGTCCCCAAGCTGGGGATGCAGGGACAGACAAAGCACACAAGCGCCCTCCCACCCTGCACTGTTCAGTGAGGAAGCTGAGGTCTGCCTTGTTCCTCTGGCATGAGGCACGGCGCCCCCTCTGGCATGACTGTGGCTGCTGCCCATGGGACAGGCCCCCCATAAGGGCAGGGGCCGACAGAGTGAAGGACCAAAGGGCAAGGGGGCCTGTGAGACCCCACAGCTGGTGAGCAGCACTGCAAGACCAGAGTGAATGTCTGATACCACTTAAACATTGCATGGAAACAAAACTTCAATATTAAAGCTAGAAAGGTAGCTAGACACTAGGAATCCAAGTCAAAGACAGTTGAACCTTTTTCTAAGAGTCCAAAGGCTAGTGGAGGCCAGGCCCGGGCCCTCAGCTCCCGCAGCTCCCACTTGGGCAGCAGGCTCCATGCTGCTCCTGCCAGCCCCCATGCTGCCGCTGTGGCTGCTGCCAGCCCCTAGGCTGCCCCTGTGGCTGCTCCTGGGACACAACCCACCCTCCTTGAAAGTTACACCAGAGGAACCCATCATGTCTAGCCTTGCATTTCACAGCTGACAGGGGAGCGTGTCCAGGAACACGGAGGAGGTCAAAGGCAGGCCTGAGTGGTACCCATGTCTCCAGACTCCTGGCCTGTGCCCCTTCTGTCATACCAAGACATGGTTGGATGGGCACAGCAGGGCATGGACTATCTGGACGGTCAGCGCCAAGTGGGTAACTGGTGTGGGGGGAGGGGCACCAGGAGGGTCTCCCTCCCCCAACCCACCTTGGCCCAGGAGGCGCAGCAGCAGAGAGCAGGCGCACAGCTGTATGTCGAGGATCCTCTCGTGTTGTTTCATGATGTTGGTCACGAGATCCACCATCTCCACAGGCCATGGCAGACCTGGCAGGGCAGGCAGGTGGCATAGGTAAGACCTGGTAGGGGACCGGATGGTGGGGGTACATAGACCAGACCAGGGAACCAGAGGCTGCTGGGGGGCTTCAGTGCACCAGCATGGGGCCCTGTGCAAATGAGTGGAAGGGCAGAGCAAGACGGTTGGTTCGCATGTCTGTGGAGGCCCGGTGTCTGCTGCGGCCATCTGGTTCTGTGCTCCCAGCAGCCCTGGAGGTAGGTCCTTCCTTTTGCTACTCTCATTTTACAGATGGGGTAACTGAGGCTCAGCTAGATGGAAGCACTGGCTCCTGAGCAGCATCTTGAACTCATCCTGTGTGACTCCAGAACCCTTGGCTGTCACTGCCCTAGAGTGGACATGTGTGGGTTCCCTCTACCTCTCCCCTGTGCCAGGAACTGTGCTGTGTGCAGGGGACAGGGGATGGATGGGGCAAGATAGCCAGGGGCCCAGGCCCAGCTGCACCCCTTCCTCCCTGTGCTGCGCCCCTCCCAGCTGTTACCTCATGGGAACATGGGCAGAGCACGGATGGCCACACCTCCACCATAGGCTCATAGTGATAGGACAAGGAGAAAAGTGCCAGCGCTTGGCATGCCAGGCTGCACAGCCATCCCCAAAGAAGCTGAGGCAGGCACAGCTCCGGGGTGGTGGGAAAGGCCCACCCTTTAGGAAGGGCCCCAAGGCTTCCCTCGGTTTCCCCAGGAAGGCAAAATCTCCCTTCCTACGGACCGTCCTGGCCACAGCTGAGCTGCAGAAGGGGTCAAGGAGGAAGGGAGGGAGGGAAAGGCAGGCACCAGTGTACAGCCTCTGCATCTCCCCAGAGGGCAGGCTGGGCCTCCGCGATTTCTGATGCCCCAGCCACTGGGGCAGCCTTAGTGGGTTCTTACTATGTGTTTTATAGATGGATGGACAAATGGACAGGTGGATGGAAGGGTGGAGAGGAGCTAGCCAGTTAGCTCAGTTGGTTAGAGCACAGTGTTAAAATACCAAGGTTGAGGATTTGGATCCCCTTATAACCAGAAAAAAGAGCAAAAGTGGACAGATGGATGGTTGAATGGATGGGTAGATGAGTGTGTGAACATAATATTTAGGCAGATGAGACAGGTTGAGTGGAGAGATTTTTGAAAGCATGTTATGGCAAAAACATTAAAAAATCAACAAAAAGGGCCGGCCTGTGGCCCACTCGGGAGAGTGTGGTGCTGATAACACCAAGGCCACGGGTTCGGATCCCATATAGGGATGGCTGGTTGGCTCACTGGGTGAGCGTGGTGCTGACAACACCAAGTCGAGGGTTAAGATCCCCTTACCGGTCATCTTTAAAAAAAAAAAAAATCAACAAAAAGATGGTTAATATTCATTAGTCGAGTATTGGAGAAAGAGGTGTTCTCATGCGTTCCTGATGGGGGGTGAGCTGGTGCATCTATGAAAGGAAATTTGCAGTATCTATGAAAACTTGAAGTATTCACACCCCTGAATATCTAGAAATTTATCCTACAGCAACACTCACAAATGCACAAATACACATGCACCAGGGTGTCCATTGTTTATAGTAGTGGAAAATAAGAAACAACTCAGGTACCCATCATAGGAATAGTAGAACAGATGGGATATCTCATTACAGATCCATTAAAATCATGTGAGGGACCCCATGCCACACCACTGCCAATGGGGGAAGCACCCAGGCAGGCAGGCAGGACAGGCCAGCCACCTGCCCAGGCCCACCCTGCCCATGCAGAAGGCAGGACCTCCCACACCATGCCACCAACACGAGGCTTCACACAGCTTCCATGGTGGTGGTCTGCAACAGCCACCACCACAGCTAACACTGTTGCAAGGACAGCTCACTACCTTAATAACATCCACAACCACTGTGCAGGTGGCCTACTACATATTTGACTTCACTAACACAAAGAGAGTCACTGGAGGAGCCTGGAAAAAAAGGAAGGTCTTTCTCTTCAAAGTTCACTCCAGAGTAATGGAAGGAACTGATCTACCAGATGGCCAAAAATCAACATAGAGATACTAGAAATACAAAAAAAAAAAAAAAAAAAAAAAATCAGAAAATATGACACCACCAAAGGAATTGAGTAATCCTCAAGTACCACACCCTATAGAACAGGAAACCCTTGAAATGACTGAAAAGGAATTCCAAGTAATTATCTTAAGGAAACTCAATGAGATAGAAGAGGACTCTATAAGACAACACAATGAAATGAGAAAAAATACCCAGGATATGAAGGACGAGATCAAGTGCCTTCAGGATGGGATGGCTGTGGACGCTAAAATACCCAGGATATGAAGGATGAAATTTACAAGGAGATTAATACCTTGAAAAAGAATGTAGAACTCCTGGAACTGAAAGATGCATTCAACTGAGAGCTTAAGCAGCAGATTAGAACAAGCTGAAAAAAAAAATTTCCAAACTCAAAGATGGTCATTATGAAATAACTCAGGCAGACAAGAAAAAGGAAAAAAGAATTTTAAAAAATGAAGAATCTCTGAGAGCAGACAACCTTAAGTGCACAAACATCTGAATCATGGGTGTTCCTGAAGAGGAAGAGAAAAGTAAAGACATTGAAAATCTATTCAATAAAATAATAATGGAAAACTTCCCAGGTATAGGAAGAGACACAGACCTTCAGATCCAGGAAGCTCAAAGATCCCCAAACAGTTTCAACCCAAAAAGATCCTCTCTGGACATTCAAAATGGCGACGGGTCTGGAGCGCCCGCGTCAGGAAACAGCGCGATCCTGAGAG